AATATTGATTACAAGATCCTCACTAAAGTCTTACTGCTAGATTGCAGACCTGCATTCCTCTAATCATTGACGAACACCAAACTTGCGGCATCAAAAATCGTTCCATACATTCTAGTATTCTCCTCTCGCAAATCATCTACGAGTTAGCCAACCAATGCTAAGACACTTGCGGCTTTCTACAAATAGACCTCCTCAAAGTCTTCGATAATATTGAACAGATTACCTCTGGCTATCGCCTCTCAGAGCCGTGAAAGTTTCAAAGACTTTCACGGCTTTAAGTTAGACATTCAATTTTCAGAGGCCCAGTTTTTGGAAAAACTTGAGAAGTGAGTCCTATTATGTGAGCAAGGACCTGTTTATGTTTAAGACTACATATTCACCACGTTTCGTTCGAAACGGTAACCCGAACGTTTTTTCTTTCCTTGTTAGTAATAGCAATCGTTTTTGAATAATTGTTTTGGAATGTTTCCGAATAAGACATTTGAGTACAATGCTTAAACGACATTTCACGTGTTCAGTCAATAAAAATCCCGAAATCTGGAGCCATTGCACAAAACTGCCTTTGGTTCTCAATGCCACTTTCTACCTTTCTGCCTGAACTTGCCGCCTGACGTCATGAAATTACTCGTGCTTGGTGTGACTCTCACCGCACGGAAGCTCGGCTTTCTGTTTTTTTTTTTTTTTTCCTGTAGTGAGATTTGTGGTTCAATTTCACGCTTAATGTCGAAACAAGCAGACCAGGGATTTATCGCTACTTGCTATCGCCAGTATTATATTTTTATCGCCACTTTAATTAATAAAAATATTTCCAAGTAGCGATTTTGGCGTTATGCAGCGCATCCCCTCTCTCTCTATACATAAGATATAAGTAAGTATTCGTGTATATTTTCGTACCTATAATTAAACCAAACACATTTTTAAAGTTAATTTACTTGTATATAGTAAATTATTTACTTATACTGTTATAAATTTGCAACATGTTCTAAATAAATTTAATTATAAATACCAAAAGCTGAAGTAATACAAATATTAAAAATTTATAATACTTCTTCAATTAAGTAGAAAATGCAATAATTATCAGATTATAAATAAAAATAACGAGAAAAATTTTGTATTAAATAATTGGAAATATATTAATTAATCGTACTTAAATAAGATACAGTAGTTTTTATCCGTATATGAAATTATGAACTAATTTATTTTATAACTAAATTATTAATTAATTTGCTAGAATATATAATATATAGATAACATATCGATATAATTTTATATTAAATTATAATAATGTAATTAATCATGCAATTTGAAAAAATTGTAGACCTATAAATTCCCACTGTCGTCCGTCCGTTCACCTGTCTTTGCATGTTGCATGCATATAATTTATATTTCTTAGTTTAGATGGTGCAGATTTTTAAAGTATTCATGATAAATGGGTGGTACCGGTACATAGCGTAATAGAGAGGTTGCGATCGAAGTTCAAACGTTAAACTTGTACGGCAAACAGAAGTACACATTAGATGTTTGAACTCCAAGTAAAACACGTCGCGCACTGACTCATGGGATATTATTGAAAAATGGCGGAAACGTTTAACAACGACGAATATTACCAGCGAAGGTGAATAAACAAATTAAACTATTTACAGGATGTTTAATAACACTAAATAATTATGTTTAATTAGCGTCGTGTCTCCTACCGTATAATAGGACTACATCACATTTTTGTTCAGGGAAGTAGGTTTTTTTTTTTAACTCTTTCCACCCTGTGGGCACTAAGACAGCCTCTTATAGCAGGCCCATTATGGGTTTGGCCAAGCCCACAATGGGGCGACCGGGTAGTGAGGGACGGGGCCTGACATATCCGAACGGACTACCCCCAGAAAGTTCCTGGGGATTCCTTGACCCATCCGGATTCGATCCCGGGTCTCCCAGAGCGGTAGGCTGCCACCTTGACCGCTCGGCCATCCGGCTGTCTGAGGGAAGTATTGGCTTATGTACTGTACAGTAAATCTGAAAGCAGCTCGGCAAATTATTTTTAGAAAATTTACAAACGTATTACGCTGTTGATGGTAGAAGATGCTGTGAAAAAACAAACTTTCTCATACAGAATTACGATAAGCTATTATGAACAGAAATTTATGTAAATTCTATAGTCATTTCACATCACTTGCAAAAAAATTGAATAATTAAATAATTTCTGGATTAAAATCGTCTGTTCTGTACAATATAAATACAAAATAATGATTATTTGAGCATAAATGCTTAAATAATCATTATTTTAATAAAATACGTCATAATTTTAACCCCAAACACAAAAAAATGAAGAAGTTTAAGCCGAACTTCTACTCGCCATGATAGACGTAGCGAACGTCATTATCAACCTTCTAGAATTGCCAGATGGCGGTGCTCGACGTCCGACGTTCACGTCTTGGGCTGAAAACGTCGGCCGGCACCTTTCTAATAAATCTATCATATCTTCATATTTTCTTTAGAGTGGACTTGCCTCACTTTCAAAATCAACTGCTCATTTAAAATACATGATTTTGTAAGAATTTATTAAAAACACTAACGAACGAGACGATATTAAATCGTAAACAACGATACAAAATGGACTCTCCGGTAAGACGACACCTGGTGGCGAACGTCTGAAGTACGACTACATTTTTGACAAGTTTTCGACAGTCAAACAATAGGAGTGGTATCACCTGTAATCTTACACTATGGTCGATGCAATGAAAACGGCAAGAGAAGAAAAGAAGTACTAATATGCTTTTAAGCCATTCCAGTAATAATAATAATAATATAAACAAATACAGTCACTGCGAGAGTTTTTCTACAAGAAACAAGAAACATCACAATTACATAAAGCAGTAACTCTAGCAGACTCAAATAACACACCATTAAACTTACACTCATCATACAGACATGACACAACATATAAAAAGCATAGACACCATCAAGCAATCGTGGGCTTGAAAGGCACTCCACGGCAGGCATCCTTATGACCTGGCCCAGGATTTTGTTGACAAAACTGCGTCAAACAGCTGGTTAAATCGGGGATGCCTCTTTGGGGAGACGGAAGGATTCATGATTGCCATACAAAATCAGGTCATAAATACTAAAAACTACAGAAAACACATACTCAAAGATACAACACTCACAAATGACACATGCAGAAAATGTCACATCATGCCAAAAACTATACAACACATCACTTCTGATTGCAAGCTCTTGGACAGACAGTTACTTACATAGACACAATCAAGTATCAAATATAATACACCAAGAGCTCGCAAAGAAACACAAATTATTAGACATCCACGAATCATACTACAAGTATATTCCACAAACTGTGTTGTAAAACAATACGCACAAAATGTACTATGACAGAGCCGTAATCACAGATAAAACGATTTACCACAACAGACCAGACATCACACTCATTGACAAACGCAATAAAATCACATACATTATAGACATAGCCATTCCAAACACTCACAATGTACAAAACACATGCACTGAAAAAATCAGCAAGTACATAGAACTCTCCCAGAAAATAAGGGATGGATAGGGTGCTTATTGTACAGTACAGTACCTGTCATTCTCTCCTGTATAGGTGTCATACCCCACACGCTACACAAAAGCCTGGGAACATTAAAAATGAATAGAAACACATACATCACACTACAGAAGGCCACTATATTCAATACTTGTCATATTGTTTGGAAATTCCTGAATACAGACACTGACACACTTATTTAATTTTAGTTTTGTTTTGGTTGCTATGCCTTGACTCTGGTCCNGTTTTGTTTTGGTTGCTATGCCTTGACCAGAGTCAAGGCATAGCAACCAAAACAAAACTAAAATTAAATAAGTGTGTCAGTGTCTGTATTCAGGAATTTCCAAACAATATCAAGATTGAATATAAAGTCTTGTACTTAAATGTTTAATGTACAAAAACACGTTTTTATTTGTCCGAAAATCTAAATGTTTGTTTGTTCTTTTTAGTAACAATGAAAAAAGCATAAGGAGAATATTATTCGGGCTCTTTACCCTATAGTTGCTAACAAAGTCTCTTCCCGCACAATATGGCGGTCATCCTGCCTGACCTTTGTTGTTTTCAAGCTATCAATGATAATGTTTCCACCATGGTTTCTTCAATTATGAATAACTCCATGAGCTGAACTATTCAGTAAAATTTTGGATTGAACATGGATGCGTCCGCCAACATATTTAGGCACCCTAGGCAACACGCTCTACGACCAGTTACGTCACAGTTCGCAACACGGTCTACAACTTTGAACGTATCTATGTACTGTACAAACATATTTATTTATTTTATTTTCAAAAATACACTGTGGACAAGTAGGCCTTTCTCAAGTGTCTTAGAACAAAAACCAACAAATAAAACGAAACATAGCCAGGCTCAAGAAATTTCATGTTATGACATGTAAGAATTCATGTTTGCTATTTGATCGAGGATATGCGTTAGGTAATTTTGGAAGTGAGTATGTGCGACAGCGCTATGGGACGTTATAGGACATGAGATAATAATTGAAAACTATAAAGTAGTGTTACGTAATTTATGGATCATCCCTATTGAAATCATACGAATTCATGAAAAGTATGCGAAATCACGTGAATTAGCAAATTATAAAAAATACTATAATCGTTTTATTCGATTAATTTTATTATTACTTTTTTATAACTTTCCTAAATTAAGAACCAGTAAAAAGTTCTAAACATCATACATTTCATACTTTATTAAAATTTTATATATAATTCTATATAACTATATAACGTTAAACAATTCTGCCATCTATCGAATAATTTTATAAATACATTTTCTTCTACTCAATCAATTATTATTATTCGGAAATATAAAGAAAAAAATTATTTGTATATAGTTTCACGATTAAAATTATTAATTTAATAAAAGAAACATTAAAAAATATAAAAATTTAAAAAAATATTAATAAAAAGGCGATATTGTATATTCATTAAGCAAGTGGCGATTGGTGGGTGGCGAATGAATTTGTTTTCGGGTCGACGACGGTCGTTTGGCGTTTAGGGTTAGGTCGTCGTAAAGAAAATATCCATCGTTTGATAACGAAGAAGTTAAAACGATTTTAAACAACATAATTTGGTAAGTAAGAAGTTAAAATGTATCTTTGATTAATTTCGATACGAAATATTTCGAGATATTTATATAATTAATAATTCTTTCAATGGATTTTATTTGAATTGACGTCAGAATTTTTATTTTTAGACGTCATCGATACCTTACTCTAAATAATCGTTCTTTTTATATTAATAATAATAAAAGTTTATAAAGGCTCGAAATGCATTTAAACATTATAATTGATCACATTGAGTAATTTTCTGTAAATTATTCCAGACTGGTGTATTTTTGCTGGATTTGTTATTGTTTGAATGAGGGCGCGGTCCAGGTTTCGTCTATTTGTAGTGCAATTACGATTATTTCGACATCTTTTTAATGAAATGCAATTATTATAAACATTTAATTAGTGTTTTTATATTATGTTATTCTTTGTTATTTTTCTTATATATTGGTTGAGACCACTATTGACTACTGCCTTCGTAAATACAGTAGTAATAATACAATGATCAATATATTAACAGTAAGATATTGATACATGCATACCAGACTAATATTAATATACCAATATATTTTAATATCTTTCACTTAATATACTATACACTTCATACCTAGATGATTATTTCCATGTTTTTAATGAAATGCAATTATTATATTCATTTAATCTATTTACTTTAAAAAATGGTTTAATTAATACTTTTCTGTTTTATTATTTGCTGTTTTTAATACACATGTATATCTGAAGATCACTGTGATGTATCACTTACAAGAATAAATTGAATAACCCAGATATATTGCCTGTAATGTGATACAGTAGTAGTAGTATTAATATAATGATCAGTACAATAACAGTGATGTATTGATGTATTAGTATTAATATAATATGCATTTATCAGTTCATTAATAATAACTTACTATACTACAGATTTTAATCTAATGATCAATACAGTAATAGTAATGTATTGAAATATCGGATTGTATCAGTGTGATGAGTCTATATCACTCATTACTAATAACCTGTACATATGTAAGGGATTCTTGTACATGTTTTGTTTATTTTTTAAAACAGTAATATTTCAATGTCTTAATGAAGTGCAATTATTATAAACTGTTTGGATTATAAATGATTTAATTGATGTCTTTATAATATAAAATTTTGTAAGTTTTAGATTTTAGTAGTTTGTCTTTTAAGGCCCTTTACAACAACAAATTTGAATAACTAATATTGAAATTAAATGGATATACTACGTGTTATGCGATATTGAAAATTGTTTTGAAATATTGGTCAATGATATCTTATAAGTTCAATACCTTTATTATTCCAGAAACTGTTTATCTGAATGTATGTTTAAATAAATAGTTGAATACTTTTGGCCTTCTGAAAGATCTCCTATAGATAGAGTATTGCTTGCTTTGGAACATTCATTAAAACTACAGTTTCAATTCAGGAGTTTTCTGTTTTCAAATTATAGTTAAATTTCATATCTCTAATGGCTGAACGCCAGTTACAAAATACAAATGAAATTAACATATACTCTTTCAAAACATTTAGCTTGTGTAAAATCTAATAATACACAATAAATTGTATGGAAAGAAACATTAAAATATTTGCTGTACATTATATTTTTATAGAATAATGTGTTCTGGCTTAAGTTACTATTTTGCCAATTTCTGTCTCCATCATCTCCACTCATTAATTTTACTTAGGTTGTATAAAGAATATCCAGGCTTATGATAACATGTCTGCATCTTTGTGATTGGCACATCCTGTTTGTTATTGCTTTAAAGATTTCTAAAAGTTTTTATATGATTTCTTTTAAAGGAAGCAATTTTCACAATTTACATTTTGTAATTGAGCTTCAATATCTGGCTCTGTAGAAAACATTGCTAAAATAATTAATGTCTTGTTTATTTCAATTGTATATCTGTGTTCCTTCAATCTGCTGTTCAGAGATAAGTTAGTGGATCGAATATACTGCAGCCTACCTAATATATGCTATAACCTCATCTCGGCTGCCTGTATAAAATGTCAAAAATCTCAAAAATTATTACACACAAAATAAAATCATAAATTATTATTACATAGTTTGGAAATTTCAAATTAAATCATACATATAATTAATTAATTAAATAGGCCTACCATACAATTTGCCATGTAACACTCAAACTAATAAGTTAACATAAAAATATTCTAGATTAAAAGAATGCTTTAATCAAGTGTTATCATCATAGGATATAATTATATAATAGTTATAAACTTGATAAAATATATTGATTAATAGAAATCAAATTGAAGTCCATGAATGATTATTTTTAGCACAGACAATAATTAATGGAATTTTTGACATCCAAAAATGCAAAATTTATTTGTGACAATGAATTTTATAACACAAAAATTTCAGTTAAGGATGAACTTCAAGTAATGAACACCAAAATGTTCTTTAAAAAAGATAATTCAGATTTATTAAGAAAATTTTTGTATTATTGAAATAATTTTTCCACCGTGGCCATTTTGTCTAACTTCTAAAACACTCTTTTACACTATTTAAGTTAAATTATTTTAACTAAGGTTAATAATTTAAAAAGTAAATAAGAAAAATTACATACATTTAAAATTAAAAAATTACATTAAAACATCATAATTTTTGAAATTACTTGAAATTTTAAAACATCACAAGCTGGGTCTGGGCCATGGTAATTAATATTAGCTTCCTTATATGCTTAGCCCATCAATGGCTGAATGGATAAAACACAGGTAGTTGATCACAGATTTGCGTCTCACTAATAGGCTAGTCACATGGAGTTTTCTTCATGTATCTAACACCTAAAAAGGCTGTTTCTACAGAAAGTCCTCTTATGAGGCATTCCTCCTTGGCAGATTGTCCAAGTGTTACATTGTCTTCTCCCACCAATCTCCATTACAAGATACTTAACTGCTCTCTTTATCTGATATCATTGAAAGCATCATCTGAAAACACTGAAAACTTTTGTGCAGTGTCTAGTACTAAACAGTAGAAATTTTCATATCCAGACATTTGAGATAATTCAGATACCAGATTAACTTAACAATATGTGGTCCATGATCTCTAGATCCAAATGCAAATGAGTTGAGAGAGATCTTTGAGTTTATAGAAGAAAAAGAAGCATATTGTGCAAATTAAAAAAAATGTTTTTTATAATAGTTATCTTTATTAAAGCATACATTAAAGTTTAAATTAAAACCATTTAAAACCATTTAAATTAAATTAAAATGTTTAAAACAAAGACATTATTTTAAGAAAAGCTTACTAATATTTTATACATACTTTTAATTAAATTCTACTCTAAAGTCTGCCAAAGGTTTTCTTTTATTAAAGAGGTCTACTGGAAGGTGAAAGTTTTGAGAAACTTTAGGTTTAGTGCATGCCATTAGGGTATTTTGTACTTAGAAGCATGTAGTTCTTCTAATTTTTCAAAAATTGCATTAAGTTTTTTCTTACAATTTAAATAAGTGCTGATGATAAGAATATTAAAACTATTACAGTGAAATGTTGACTTAATATGTAATAGAAATGTAAAGAATACACAGGTGCTATTCATCAATTATTTGTTGCTATACCTAAAGACCAAGTTTGTAAACAGTTCTTTAAACTTTTCTCAATCATATCAGATGAGCTAATTTTAATTTTTACATTTTTATACAATTTAATAAGTTAAGTCTTATTACACATAAGATTTATTATTTTATTGTACAGTGGAACCTCACTTAATGAGCATAATTTGTTCCAGAATATTACTGGTAATGCAAAACACTTGTTAAGCGAAACAATTTTTCCCATATAAATGAATGCAAAATATGATAATGCATTCCATGCTGAAAAAAAAATACTCAAATATTTTATGTATAACATTTATTCAAGGAAAATTATACAATATATATTGTTAAGGCGCATGAATCATTTTTATCTTTTCTTCTAGTGCGGAATGAGCCAATCTGGAATGTGAATTCAATTTGCAGAAAACAAAAAAAATTGCAGATATGTCTGATAAACACGCCAAACAATATGTCAAATTCTTGGGCTATGTAAAAGCTATAATTAAATATTAGAAATTAAATAATTTGACTACAGGTATATAGTTATGCTGCTATCTTGTATTAAATTTAATACAAGATAGCAGCATAACTATATACTGCCTACCTGTAGTCAAATTATTTAATTTCTAATATTTATTAGGTTGTTTGGAAAGTAATTTCATTTTTTTTTACCACTAGATGGATTAGTCGTATTTTTCCTGCCATTTTTATTCTAAACCGTATTATCATTATATATTTTGACATCTATCATTTTAAGGCTTATTTGTAAAAAATTTTGTTTGATTTTGTGCAATTGTTTATTTTTTATGTCCCATCAAATATGGAAGATCGAAAGCAGCATTTTCGGCATATTTTGCTCTTTTATTACCGAAAAGGTAAGAATGCTGTTCAAGCGAGAAAAAAATTGTGTGCCGTGTATGGAGAAGAAGTATTGACAGAACGACAGTGCCAAAACTGGTTTACAAAATTTCGTTCTGGCAATTTCAATATAGAAGATGCACCACATTCTGGATGGCCAGTTGAAGCCAATGAAAATAAAATAAAGGTACTGATTGAAGCAAACTACTGAATAACAACATGTGAAATCACTAAGAGATTAAATTTGTCAAATTGAACCGTTTATGATTACTTGAAACAAATTGGTTTCGTTTCAAAGCTTGATATATGGGTTCCACATGTTCTTAAGAAGAGATGCTATCTTTGGTGGGATTTTAAGGAAATTTTTTTTGGAGCTTTTACCAGACAATTTAACAATTAATTTGAAAGTGTACTGCCATCGAGTAAACAAATTGAGTAATATCATTAAACAGAAAAGGTGACCAGAATTTTTCAACAAAACAGGTGTAACGTTTTACCACGATAGCGTGATACCATGAATTTCACACAAGTTTGGTAACTTGTCAGAAACTGTTATAACTTTGATGGGACGTGCTATTACATCAACCATATTTGC